TGAATCCGTTCGGGGAAACATTTAATTCTAAAAAAAAACAAATTTCCACAAAATATAACACTTTTATATTGGAATCGCTGAACACGAATTTAAACTCATTCTAAAAATTCAAAACAGCAGATTTAATATGGCCGCTATTTGTAAAATTTAATTTTACAAATTTTTGAAATTTGGTCGGCCACTTTAAATCCGTCCCTAAATGTAATGCAAACATTTCATGCTCAGATTTGTGTTTAATAACTGAAAGTATCTACATAAGAAACGACTTGTTAAAGAAATGATTTGTTAAACTTCAAGGCAAATTTCGTATTGTACAGTGTTATCGATCACAAAATTTGCTCTGAAATAATTATCATTGAACATGTTCTAACAATGCATTCTGCTTGTTATTCCCGATCGCCTGCGGTCTTCCCCTCCGTAAACATTTTATAAGCTTCTCTCTAATTACAAAAGTCTTTCAAGGCTGTTTCGATACGGATACCCCGATTTTTCCAAGCCATTATATCCGGCATACAACATTCTCTATCATAATAATGGCTGAGAACATTTCTATACTTCATGACATTTATAGCCTTCATTGCTCAACGTTGCTTATCCGCGTTAATCCTGCGTATAAGGGTACACTTGTAAGTATTCTGCATGCGTGAGTGCAAGCTGCTTCGTCTTAGGATCACGCAGCCATTCCGTTTGCATATTTATCGGATTGAAATCCGAGAAAGATTTTTGGCGTACAAATCGTCAAAACCGATTACGCGCACGAAATGTATAATTTTTTCCTGTATGTGTGCAGGGTAAATCCCCAGCTGATTCTATTTCTGTCCGCGGTAGTTGTGATTTAAATTCGAGATTTATTTCAGCACTTGATATCGCAGTTGGTACCGTGTGTGGATACGCAGTCATTTAATTGTGTATTAATATGCCGTAAATATGGACCATGAAACAAAAAAAAATATATATATATAAACATAAACTAAAAGAATATATTCTAATTGTTAACCTATATAATATGACAAATAAAGTATAAATCTAATTGCTAATAGCTCTATTTATTATGTAGTTAACAGGAAATTTTATTTAATAAAGTTAATAACTTTGTTTATCTAATAATTAAAGAGACTAAAATATACAAATAAAAATATATATATGACACATGCATAGATTATCCAAGTATTATTTACCAATAATTATAATAGATTGCAAAAATTTCTCAAATCTCCGAAAATACGTACCAAAATATTCGCTACCGCACTTTGCTTACGATAAATAGAAGAAACATATTAAATTAAATCTCATCTGTGTGAATCATCAAATCGCCAATAAGAACGTATAAGAACCGTGAACATAAAATTGCGTGTTTCGCAAGGAAAACGAGCATAGTCACTGCATTTTTTTTTATTGTAGGAAGGACATATTAAATTATTCTCCAATGTTGCAACAAAGTATCGTATTATAGGAATTCAAGATACAATTCGATATCGCGGTCTTAAAAAACCTCTTTTGATTTACTTCCTGCACCTTTCGCCTGTCCGTTCACGGTTAGGTACAACCGAACAGAGAAAAATTAGTCGACTGCGTGTACTACCAGTACTATTCAATATATATATATACCATTCCACTCATGGATTAATCACGCCAAGTTTAAGCAACAGCGATTTGAATAACGAGGTAATAAACCGACCTACTTATGAGAACGCATTAACTGCGTTAAAATTATGCAATATAAACTTGAAAGATACAACTTGTTTAGTCAATATAAAGTATGATTAATGTATTTATATTTTGTTTATCCTTGCTTTCATGTTGCCAAATAAAGGAAACATAAAATATTAACACGTTACCTTGCTTCTAAAAAAAAACATGTATAGAAAAATGCTTACAATTTTGCAACTATGATATGATAACAATGCTAAGTGTTCTATAACTACTCAACTCCAATCGTTAATATTTAAAATACTTTAGTCAGCGTTTTTTTTTTTTAGCAGTACGATTACATTACGTGTAACACAGATACTGTATTTTTAATATAAATTGTTGTTATATTTTTAATATAAATTGTTAATATAATATTATAAAATACAGAAAAAGAGACATTAAGAGAGAGAAAGAGGCAAGGGTTGTAATAATCGAAAAAATTATGGGAGAATCAACAAAAATATAACATCAAATATAAAATAAAATGGTAAATGCTGAGATTATTTCTACATATATTAGAAATATAATTTATTATTTTTTATCAAATAAATTAAGCTGCAAATGGAGCGCACGTTTACGTCAGATGCATTTTCAAAAGTACACGCATATACATGTATGAGGTTTCGATTTCTGCGGTTTTCACTCTCGATCGGAAAGTGTCGCTTCCACAGGAGGAGTAAAAGTCACGGTGTATCCCGTGGTAAAAAACAGGTGTGGAGACGCATGCTATAGCTGGTCAAGCCGAGAAAGTCAAGAGCGCGAATGCCGGCGTGCTCCAAGAAGTATCTTTCGCGCGCAGCCTGTTAGCCTACTTACGCGGCTTAGTACGGCTCGAAATTCGTGACGCGACCGCGGTCTCGCCGCGTCGATTCAATAATATTGATCGTTATCGCATGTACATATCGACGGAGATTCCTATCCGCGAAAAAAGAAGCACGCGGCGAAACGTCGCGTTGTCGCCGCGACTGCAGTGTGTGACCTAAGATCATTGCGTAATACGATCAGCCGTCCCCGTATTGACGTTACTCCGCGGCCCGATCATCGACGGCGAAATTTCGAAGCCTCCCGGCTTCCTCCACGGCGCTTTCGATCCGAGAAAGTCGCGACTTCGCACGTACGCGCTCACGGCTCGAAAATCGCAACTGTGATTTCACGAGAATACACCGAGCGATACACCGAGCAACTGGACAGGAGATATTAAGAGCAGGTATTTTCATTTAATTTTCGAAGAATTTTTTACTTTTACATATGGAACACCATCTGAGATGTAGCGAACCAAGACATTAACATGTAAATTAAATTCGATATCAGAGAATCGATAAAATTTTAAATAATCAATAAATTAAAATAACGCAACGAAATTTTAGACCAGAAACAGAAATACAGAAATAACGTAATACTAATCTGATATCTTCAAGAAATTGAAATGAATCTTTATAGAATAAAGTTGAGTAACATCATTATTCGTTACTTTTCAAAAATTCCATTTTATTTCTACATTAAAGTAAATCTATTTAAAATCAAATCAAAAATAGAATTTTATTATTTATTTGTTGCAAATTTGTGAATTGCAAAAAAGTAACTTTAATTTTCGATCTCTTACAACATAAAAATTGATCAGTATTGATCTATAAAAAAATGTTCATCCCAATTTTAAATATACATTCTAGAGCATCGTTTGTGAATCGTTCTATATGCGATAGAAAATAAATTTTTCCACAAAGAACCGATTTTTTATTCTATATCTGGATTCTTATCTGAATTCTTATCTGGAATCATTGATTTGGATATGCACAGAATATCTCAAATTGCTCGTAGACAAATTCATTTAGTTATCAATTAACCTAAAGTAGATTTCTAAATGTACATATGTAATACATATGTAGGCCCGAAAAAACTTGTGTAAACTCTTTCGACTTACAAAAAAAAAACAAATCCAAGAGTTGAAAGCTTCCGCCTTCAAATCTCGTCTTGAAGAATGTTGAAATAAAAGATAATATTTCCGCACCTGTGGCTACTAGCTGTGGCATGTATATACTTGTTTAATTAGTTTCCTAGAATTTATTTAATTATATCTCCTCATTTTTTATCATTTTTCTCATGAATAATCTCATAAAAAATAAAATCAATCTTTAAAATTTATTATTTAACTATAAATTTTAATAAATTTTTCATATTATTTAATACATATTTCTATTAGAAAATTATTCTCGAAAATATAACATTTTAATGTAAGAACAAATTTAATAATGAAATACAATACATAAAATTTATTCTTTTTTGTAGCTGAACTCTCTTTCTCTCTCTCTCTCTCATCAATATTTCCTCTTTTTCTCTCCAACACTTAATTATGTACTCGTCTTATTCTAGACTTTTTAGAGGCTGAGAGCGCGGCGCACGCCCGTTGCGCAGCTGCAAAGACACCTGCGGACCGTCTCTAAATTGGACTTTTAGCGCGTTCGAATTCTAACGCGCGCATGCGTACGGCCGACGACGCGCTTCGCTCGCGTAGTCAGTGCAGCCTCTAAAACCGCGCGGAAATTCCGTGCGTCTTCCGCCCGAGGTTCTTGTCGCGAGGACGTCGGGAAAAAAACGCGCGCGAATTTTCGTGGTCCACGCGCGATCGCGATTCCTTACACGCTCCGCCGAGATATCGTCGCTCGTTTGACACATCGCGACGTCACTAGCAGACGATCCATACGGCGTCTGCTGGGACCAGCTGACAGGCATATGCCGGAGCGAGAATATCTAATGCCGCCGCGTTGTTCGCACGTGATCGCGGATTTTACGACTTAGAAACGAATGGTCAGCGCGTCGGGGCGAGCCTCATCACGCGATCCCCCCTCGCGCGGACACGGGGAAGACTGCGTTTCGTCGCAACATTTCGCAGCACCCCTGACCCACATGTTATGTAATTTTTCAGCGACTGATTCTCGCGGAGTAGATCATTCGAACGCGTGACAATGTCACCTCGAAAGATCCCGAAAGGTCCGTCTGATTCCGCCCTTGCGATCGGCTGTCACCTCGCCTGTCGGAGGCGCGCGGTAGATCGCGCGACAAAACAGTCGGTGCGTCAGGTGTCAACCGCCGGGCGTAGGTTAGGTCGGCGCGGGACGGTCGTGGATAAACGCGAGAGAATCGCGGAAAATTGAATGGAACAGCGGGTTTTCTCGGGCGCGTCCGGACAGTGGGATCCCGACGGCCGCGGGGACGCGCGGCAACTCGAACGGGAGCTGCCGCAGCGGCGCCGCGGGGCCGTCAAAGCGACGGCCGGGGGTGTCTGCAGCTCGCCGTGACAACGTACGTACCTGGCAGTGCTGGAGGAGCGCGCCGTCCGTCCGCGCGGGGATCACCGGCCGCGATTTCACACATGTCGTAGTCGAAACTTTCCTCCGTAATTGGGCGAAATGTCCGAACTGGCACAGTCTCTCCACACGAGCACAAAGCCTACTCGATCCTATACATGCCATCGCGAGGGCTATAGTGAGGCGACTCACCACTGCCCGAGTGGCCCGTACCTCTTACGAGTCTCTATTCCACTCCGATCCCACCAGCACTTCGAAAAATCGCACTCCCCCCTCCACCCGACGGCCGACCATCTCCCCGTCCCGCTGCCAATGTCCTCCCACCCCCCTCGCACGCGCGCGGGTAGTCGCTTATAACCACGAAGTCCACGAGAGCGGCTTCGCGACTTTATGAGCTGCCGCTTGTGTGTGCCTTTCCTGAGCCACTGCGAGCAATGCAAGCCCGCATGCGCGCATAGGAAATCATCGTCCGACGTCGCCCAATGATATGTTCATCGTGTAGCTTGCGCGTCGAACACTTTCTACGTTTACAATGAAATCACAGTTTAAATAGTTTCAATGGGTATACATTGTCACCAACGGTGGTACTTAAGACCGGCAGTCTCATTCGCATGCGATTGCTGTGAAAGTCAGCTGCTTTGAAATGTAATAATAATTTTACAACTTATATTCCTTTATACTTTATTATAACTTACTTTATAACTTATTTTTATTCTTTATTACTTATTTTATATTATTATAATCAGCATGTTTAAATATGTACAATAGTATTTAATTTAAATTAATATATGATATATTTCGAATATCGACGATCGAAGATTTAGATTGACAGTCGATAATGTCGATAAATCTTCTGTTATCTTCAGATCTATCGGAATTCCATAGATCGAAAATTTACCCAGGGTCGGTAGTCTTCAGTAGATACGATATGAGCCATGAGGTCAATCTTGACATTTTTGGCGCTCTTGGCGCTGTAAAAAAAGATCACATTGGCACGATGAATAGGTTAAGTTTGGCTCTCCAAAAATTTGAACAAGCGATTCAAACGATTTTCGGTCGCGGCTTTCCTCCAGGTAATCAAAAATTAATGCATATAAACGTATTCTCAATTAAATTTTAAAAATTAATATCAATCTGAGTGATCGCTCACATTTTTTTCTTATATTCCCTAACCTCAACTAAGTTGAATACAGATTCTAGAATAATCAGCTTCGTACAAGAATAATATTGACAATTTTTAGTAATGCTAAATTGGAATAAATTTTGTTAACACTATCGAGGTTTGAAAAAGTTTTTGAACTTTTTGCTGTAGGATCGCTATACGCAATCAATTGCAATGGCTTCCTGAACGAACCGAAACCGACGAGCCGTCTCGGTCTCGATAGTCTGAAAGAAATTTTCGACAATGGCATTTTATGGGCGGTTCCGAAGAAACGACGTAGTTTGGAGGAGAGACTCAAGAGAAGATTCGGGTATATGAAATACTTTTGGAAGCCACCTGTTGCAAAAACTAATATATTATCATGTTTCAATTGTGGTCATCCCTACGAAGCTGGCCGTCTATGCGGTAAATATCAATGTAAAATAATTATATAGAGCAAGAAAAATATAAAAAGTGCAATTTAGATTTACATTCTTGGATATAAGAATGAAGAAAAAACTTGCGATGGTTTATCCACATCTGTTTGCCCATGTAGGACACTGCTATGAAAAAGTAAAGCTCGAGACTAAGGAAATGCAAGACGCCATTCAAAAGGAGTTGGGTCTGAGCCCGGTGGAAGAGAACGTAATTGTTTTATATGATGGAGAAAGGGAATCGAAAACGGATGAATTTTGGAAGGTATTAAAAATTACGCACTTTGTCGTGCGACATAAAGTTCGATTTTATTTATACAAATATAAATTTAATTCTATCTCTAATTCTAGAATCAAAGGATAGTTGAAATGCCAAAGAAAAGACCTTCGTGGTTTCATCAGAACTTACTGCAGCCAACAACGCAGGAACCGTCGAATAAAAAAGACGTTAAACCTACTAATCTTGCGTAAAGTGCACTTGGAATTGGGTTTTAATTTTTTGTAGTCAAAATCCGGGATATACACCCTCGTCGAAATGGGGTGAATATCCAGGATTTTTGGAGAATAAAAATATTAGAACGTTTTTTTAAAATATAATATTTGTATTTACGACTAGCGTCCTTTGCGCGAAAGATATTTCATTTTTGTTTCGTGATCGTGTTTATTGATATAAAAATAAATACTGGTAGATACGATATGAGCCATGAGGTCAGTCTTGGCATTTTTGGCGCCCTTGGCGCTGTAAAAAAGATCACATTGGCACGATGAATAGGTTAAGTTTGGCTCTCCAAAAATTTTAACAAACGATTCAAACGATTTTCGGTCGCGGCTTTCCTCCAGGTAATCGAAAATTAATGCATATAAACGTATTTCTTAATTAAATTTTAAAAATTAATATCAATCTGAGTGATCGCTCACATTTTTTCTTATATTCCCTAACCTCAACTAAGTTGAATACAGATTCTAGAATAATCAGCTTCGTACGAGGATAATATTAACAAAAAATACTTCTGTAACGCGCAGTATTGTCATATAATTTACACTACGGTCGAGCGATATTTTATCTATTTCAATATTTCGTATTCCCTATCACCGTAATTTTCTTTTATACACGTTGAAGTCCGAAGAAAATTTCACGTGTGTAACAATTTATCACTGGTTTCGACTGCCACAATCAATGTATAAGCTCGAAATCCTCTGTGGACACTTCCTTGGTGAAATGACTTAAGACGTGTTCGTGAAAATCCGGAAACGGCACGCACTTTCCGAAGGCAATCCCGCACAACGGGCACATATTGTCCACGTTGTCGTTCTGATTAGGACATTTTTCCATAGAAAGACTGGGAGTCATGAGACTAGTCTGAGTAGCTCCGTGTTCTTTGAAACTGTCATCAGAGTCGAATTGCGTACCCGTTTGGCACATCTTCTTATTCGCATTTTTTCGACAATTGTTACATATCGCCCCTGAAAAAATATATTTATTTTGAAATTGACGAATTTCTGGGAAGCATTCTCTGCATCGTCAATCAATGTCAGAAAAAAGAGAAAGATAATCGATTAAATTAATTACACTTGAGACTCACCTTTTCCCATTTTTTTTAAATTCTGTAATGCCCTTTTCAACCTAGTTTGCTGCCCAAGTAAGGCGTCCTTAGTTTGAGACAACCGAATTTCGTGCTGCTTCAGTTGCTCCAGCGAATCAGTGTCTGAGTCTTCTGGATACGTAAAACCGACGGCTTGTAAATTTAACTCGGAACTATTGTGTAACTCCACCATCTGTGAAAACGACCGGTATTGCATAAAAGATATTAAATGTTACGAAATTTTTGCTTCTTTACCTCTGCATACTGCTGTTCGAGATCGGACTTCTCCAGCATAATACTATTTATTAGCCTAAGAGATATTTCTTCCAAGCTTTGCTCCTTTTCACCTGCAACGGTAAAAATTGTTAATCGTGACTAGAGATTGCGTGACAGCATGGTTGATTTCAGGTCGATACCAACCATCCGTAGTTAGTAAGTACGTCTTGGCCTCCTGTTTGTCCAAATCAGACACATCGCGAAAGTTGTATGTAATAATATCGGACGACTGCATAGTGGGATGTTGCTTAAGCGTGTCCGAGATCTTAGTCAATTGGCTACCTAATGACTTGTTAGTTTTTGTCAATCTTGTTAATCTGTTCCATAACTGACGATTCTCCGCGGCCACCATGAAAACGTGATGGGACAGCTGAGACTTTTGTTTCGTCAGTTCCTCTATCTTTTCCTGCAGTCCAAAAATGCATTATTCGCATTATTAAATGTGTGTAAACACCGCAGATGCGAAACATTCAGAAATATTCTTTTACTTTTATATTTCTTACTTTGTTTTACGTTACTGAAGGAAATTTGTACACAAAAACTCACTTTACTTAATTCAAGCAATATTAATATTCCCCAATATGTAGATATTTATATAATTCTATTGTATTGTTTTCAAATACAGCTAAACGGATAGAAGGAACAAACAAATCTCGTGGCATCGTTGAATAGAAAAAGACCACTTTTAGATCTTGAAATTCTTGAGAGATAGATTATTCTTGCAATTTGCATTGTGTATCATATGTCATAACAGAGTTTCGAGAGATAATTAAGGTTTTTAATTGTTTGCTGTCTGAACTAGATTTAACGAACCTGCAGAGATTGCAGCGGCGACCTGTCGTTCTTGTCGACTTTGACAATAGCCGTGGTCATGTCCCTGCCGCACTCGAGCCTGAGACACATGTTCTCCTCCTCCACCGTCGCCAGTCGCGTCTGCAGCTGCTGGCAACGTTCCTTCATGGTCTTGAAGGCGACCAGCAGCGCGCAGTACGATCCGAAGGTGTCGGTCTCCCCGTTCTCGATGTCGTTCATCGTGCGACACGTCGGTCGACGGGGCGACCCGCGCGACTCGCTTAGAACCGAGGTGTGACAAGCGTGGCTCGACGCTCCGTGATCGCGTCGCTTCTGAAAGCGTCACGCGACTCCGTCGACCTCCTCCTCGCCTCTGCTCTGCCGAAGATGCGTTCACTCGTCGTGGATGCGAGAGGTTAGGTAACCTCTTACATCTTGTCCGAGAACAGCTACAAGTACGCCCCGGATACGCTCACGCGAGTTATTTCGGCGAAAAGTGACACGTATTTTCGGTGCCACTCCTGGCTAACATTTGCAAGAGTCGTTGTATTACGACGAAATAACGCGGTGATTCCCCATTTATCGTTAATCTCGATAGCAACTTATTGCGAGAGGGGAGCTGTACTCCACTTTTCACTGGCGAAATGATAAACATGACGTCACAGCGAAACAGCTGGTCCGAATTGCTGCCAACATGACGGCCTTAGCTGTTAGCAATTGACAACAATCAATTTCTCGATTGTACGTAAGAACAAATTATCGGCTGCGTGTCATTTGTGAGAATCCTTAAAATTTTCAAAAGCGAAAAGAAACTCGAACTGCTCGAGATTCTATAGAAATCAAGTGTAATATATAGTTATAATAGTATATTTACAATTTTATGTAATTTGCATTTTATTGCATTTTATGTAAATAATTTACAATTTTTTTACATAACTTGCATGTCTTTATCTGTTGTTTGAGTTTAAGGATAGGCCGGTTCTTTGAAATTCTGAAAAAAATATATTTATGTATAATTTTATGTTACATATATGAATACGTATATAATCTCTCTCACTCTCACACATATACACACTATTTATATAATTTTTATGTACACATATGTGTATTATTTTTTCTTTTATCAGTTTAATATAAACTAAATTCGAGTTTAGCAGAAAAAACAGTATTATATACTCTTTATAAACTTCAATTAGTCTTGTTACATTTTAAATCATATAATATATCAATCATTATATAAACAAGTTATAAATGAAAGAAAAAATTTATTACTTTAATCTCTGTGTTAAATTTCAATATATACACGCTGAAAATTGTAATACAAGCCGGACAAACCCACGTACATTTGGTTCGATATCATAGCCGCATTTAATTTCAAAAATTAACCGGTTTTATCATTTCATTAATATGCAACGACTATCTTTACATCGCGTTGTTGACACTTTAGCCCGTCCACTTCAGACGGTTCTTATCGAACACGACTGCAGGAATCTCATGCTCTTAATACAGTCGACGAGCTTTGACCAGTCCGTACGTCATTTGCCATTTTGCTCCTGTTCGCTCCTTCCACCTGATACCAGGCTCTCGACAGTCTCGACCATATGGACGCGTACGTATACTGTTATAAAATAATTCTAAACACGCCGTACAGATGATACGTGCGACACGAACCAAGTATACGTCAATTTATTGCAATTGGCCGGTTCAATGTTCATGACATAATTGGTGACAATTTATAGCAATATGCCTTGTGGTAATGCGGGACTGTCATCACGCGAATCATTTATCGCGCGTATGTATGTACACTGATTTAGACAGGCCACGCGTACGTGTGTGTGTGTTGTTTGCATGCGTGTATACATGCATATCCAACACATATGGTGTGGGTGTGACAGATGACTGCTGAGATACTCTTGAAAATTTTGACGTTCGGTGAGCGCGCAAATGTGAGACATATCTCAACGAACAGTGAGCTCCATTGAACACTTCCCACACGATAACGTTTATTTGACAATTATATTCCCTATCTGTGATATCGCCTGCCTTCGAAATGTCGATAATACCTGTTAATCTTTGTTCTTTAGCGGTACAGTGGCAGTAAACTCGAGTTCTCTGGAGAAACCAGCTATGTACAAAGTTCTCTCCAACGTGTCAAAGTACACAGTAAGTTCGTACACGCATACTTTTTCACCGAGAAAGAAGAGCCTTTTAATAAAATCGATTGTATCAACAGGTCTACAATGGATTACGTAAGACACCGTCCATCCTGCAAGTTGCATCTGTCACAAAGTTAAACCTAAATAAGCAACCGATCCCAAAACAACCTGTTCCTGATCTCAAGCAAACTGCGGAACGTTACTTGAGGTACACATGTTTGTATGCCTTTTTATCTTCAGGCGTTGTTATTCATAATTCATTAATTACAGATCGTTAAAGCCATTGTTGACTGACAACGAATACAAAAATACCGAGAGGATTGTCGGTGAATTTATAAGCCACACGGGCGCAGGACCTCGGTTACATGCTAAATTATTGGAGAGATATCAAAACACCGATAACTGGGTACTTATCGTATCTACATACATTCTTTCAGTATCAGTTAAATAATAATAATACTAATTAACGCATTATCAGTGAATAGTAATTCTAATTGACGTCTATTTATTTCAGATGAAACAATGGTGGCTGGAAACCGCATACTTAGGATACCGTTTGCCTGTGATCGTGCACTCCAGCCCTGGGACCGTTGGGCCACCAATTACTTTCCATCAATCAGATGACTTCTACGTGTACGCGGCGCGCCTCGTTGCTGCTGTGTGCGATTACAATGAGATGGTCAAGAGGTGAGTTTTATGCGGTTCACGCTATTTTCCTTTTCCGTTCCTTGTAACATTCATCAACAATGATGCTGCAGCGAGAATATGAAACAAGAAATGGCTCGCAATGATCCGCTCGACATGCAGCCTTACGGCATGATACTCGGTACGCACAGGCGACCCAACGAAGTGATGGACAAACTGTTGCACACAGACGAGGCCAAGCACATAATAGTCATAAGCAATAATAATGTGAGTATAATCAGTAGAGATGAAACACGAATATGCAGCTGTGGATACACATTCTATCTACGTTACAGTTCTTTAAACTTTGTGTTGTCGATAAAAACGGCGTTTTAAACGAGGGCAAGCTCGTGGCTGCCATAAAAGATATCGCAGATCGCTCGTGTACCCAAGGGAAGCCCGTGGGGATTTTAACTGGGAACGACAGAGACACTTGGGCGAAGGACCACAGCTTACTTTTAGGTTTATTTCAGTTTTACCTTGCGCATTTTTCGTTTCCCCCTTTTACCTCACAATTTGCGTTCCGTCTTTTCAAGCCGCACAATTTTTTTGTATAATTTCCATTATTATCTATGTCGAATCGTTATCGTTGTATTTTCAGAACTGGGTAACAATAGGAGTATAATCGAGGATATAGAAAGTTCCCTGTTTATAATGTGTCTGGATAAGGATATACCTAAAGATACTTTTAAGGAGAAGAATAACGCCTCGGTCAGAGCGGTTCAAACTATGACAGGCTACAGCAGCTGTATAAACGCTGGTAATAGGTGGCACGACAAGACTGTGCAGGTGAAATAGCTGACTAATATCTATATTACAATGAATAGTTAAATTTTAAAGAAGATGTGTTTAACACGATATCTTTTGATTCTGAGAGAAATAAGGAACGTATCTTTACAGTATATAGTATCCGCCGATGGTTGCATTGGCATGGAATACGAACACTGTCCATGCGAGGGAGTTCCGGTTGCTGTCCTTCACGATTATGTATTGAAATATATGTAAATAACAATTGCTTAAAACATAAGACATCGTTTTAACGGGGCGCGTGGTAAACAATTTCCGTCTATTTCCAGAGCGGCGAGGGAAAATAGCGCGAGGGATGCAAACTCCGCGAATTTCCCGAGACCGGAACTGTTGAAGTTCGAAACTAACGACGCTATAGACTGTGCGATCGAGATAGCTACTGACGCGGTGGATAAGTAGGTTGATCTTTACCCTTTACGATTACAATTACGCCAAGTACTACTGAATATACAATATTTGTGATTTTTTTAGGCTTTCAGATGACATAGACATGGAGTGTTTTACATTTGACAAATTCGGCGCGGACACTATTAAAGGGATTAAACTGAGTCCCGACAGTTTCATCCAGATCGCGATGCAAGTGACGTTCTATCACTTACAAAGAAAGGCGCCGGCTCATTACGAAAGCGCGGCGTTACGAAGATTCATAAATGCCAGAACCGAGTGCATCAGATCCACCAGCACCGAGTCGGTCGAGTTCGCGAAAGCGATGCTTCCGGAAGAGCGCAAGAGCAAGCAGCAAAAGAAGGAACTGATGGTTCGAGCTATAAACGCTCACAAAGAATACGCCGCACAAGTGAGACATACATCTGCTTTAATTAATCATCTGATGATCCAAGAACGCGCAAGTTCTCGAATTAACGTTCCCTTTTGCGTAGGCGGCGACGGGTCAAGGCGTCGATCGGCACCTGTTCGGCTTAAAGATGATAGCGAAAGGCGAAGGTATGGAGCTCCCTGAATTGTACAAGGACGTTGGCTACACCAGAAGTACATATTTCAATTTAACGTCGAGTCAGGTAAATTCGGAAGTTGGCTCTTGAAGAAATTCCTTGGCGAGACTGAAACGTGAAGATATTTTAACGAAAAGATAATTGTATCCGCGCGTTATATAATCGATATAATTCTGTGATTCAAAGGTGCCGTATAAGTCAGCGTCTTTCATGTGCTACGGACCGGTCGTTCCCGACGGCTACGGTTGCTGCTACAATCCGCGACCGAAGGACATTCTGTTCGCCTGTTCGTCGTTTAAATCGTGCCGAGAGACCGACACGCGGGAGTTCGCTCGCGTTTTACAGCAGACACTGTCCGACATGCGGGACATAGGAAGTGAATGAAATTGCTCAGAAACTCTTTCGCGATGCTACAGCGACGGGGGAAAAAGTACCGAGGTTAATATTTTTATATAGTGTACGACGGCAAAAAAATATGAGATGCGCTCGAGTCAAGCGGATTTGTTTTGTATAAACTTTTTATTGCGCGAAATATATGCTGACGATCCGAAACGATCTTCGCAGAGTACATACCACTTTCTTGACTTAGTCTGCTCTGCCACGTCACAATTGTATTTTGTATTAATAAAACACATGTATAATAATTAATCTCATCATGCATCAGTTACTTAATATAGTAATATATAAATATAAACATAATAAAAAAATCGATTATGCGCATTTGGCAGGTATCATGTCACAAAATGTAATATCACAGCTCTGTTCTGGTTCTGGGAGGGTAGCCCCAGAAGAAAGTCGGATATCCCTTGACTTCTCTTTCCCGCGCCACGAAAGCAGTGAAAGAGGAAATGCAATTTCCTATGAAATAGTTGGACCTTCCGAGAATCGCCAGATCCAAGTGTGCGGACACCGGCAATGCCTGCCGGAACACCGATATCTATCGTGGGAACGATGAGGTCAGCGTATTTTATTAGCGTTATCGCGTTGGCGATATCACGAGCTTACCTGACTTACCTCTTTACGCGCCAAAGCGTCCCCGAGTCTGTCCAACATGTAGTCATTGTCAGACGCCACGAACACGGACTTGATGTCTTTGCCGTTGCGAATAACACGCTTCAGCTGAGTTATTATTACGTTGAACGACGGCAGGCACATCGAGAGGGTTGCCTTGCCGCGTTCGTTCTGATAACCGAGGCACTGGGGAGCGGCAAAGAGATCCGGCGCAGACGGTATATGTTCGCACGCGCGTTCCTGAAAAGCGAACGCGATAATTAAGAGACCGTTATTCTTCGTAAAATGTTTATACAGGATTGCCACAAAACTGAAAATCAGGGAAGTCAGGGAATTTTATAAAATTTTCTGAAAAATTAAAATTCTTAGATTTGAAGAAGTTTAATATGCATATATCACACTCGTACAGTTTTGTTAGCTAATGGAAACTCATTTTAATAGAGGTTTAAAATGATTCACTAAGAACATTATAGAATTTTCAACTTGTCTACTATTTATTGGAATTTTAAATTTATTTAAAACTGTTTTTTTAAACTTACTTGTAAATTTCTGGTATCACTTGTGAACAAATTAATAAAATTAAAATTTACTTCATATTTTTGTAATTTTTTTTTCAAGTTTGTAAGATACTTTTGTTTGTAAAATAGCTTTGTATAATAGTAGTAAGTCGAAGATTCCAATAAACAGGATTTAGTTTTTATCATAAAGAATCTATATTTACATGTTTCTTGTATTGTAAGCAGAGGAAAAGAATTGTGCGCATATATAAAAAAAAAGATAAAGAAATACTAGCAATTTAACAATTAAGTGCAAGTAATGTCAACAACAGTAATTTACATTGCTATGTTAAATTGCTCTCTCCAAAAATATTTAACGATTTCCAAATAGTCATTTTCAAATCAAACGAACATATTTTTTAATATATTGAAAGTCATGGAAAATTATGAAATTTTGTCTGACAGTTAGGGAAAAGTCATAGAATTTTAGAATGAAGAATTTGTGGCAACCCTGTTATAGCATTTATCTTGATTCATATATATATATATATATATATATATATATATATATGTGCAACAAATGCCACGTACCCAGTCGATCCCATTCCGCAAATGTATGCCGACGAATGCGCCCCTCGGCAACACTTCCTTTATAAACGTCTTCGCTCTGTTTAGAATGTCGTCGTTCCAGTTGAGACACTTCTGCAGAGGCTTGTTCACGAGCTGGACCGGGAAGCTCGCGGGCGCGCCCGTGAACGCCAGCACCGGCCAGGTCTCGGCCCGATAGTACTGCTGCCACTGTAGCTGCCGCGTCCGGGTATAATACACGTCGTAATAATGGAGCGGTTTGAAAAATTCCGACTTAACGAAATCTATGTTGTACGTGTCCCAGAAGGGACCGAACGGGTTTCCTTGCTTAGCGTTGCAGGACCCGTTGCCGTTGCTCCCCATGCGGGCCTCGTAACAGAAAGCTGAAGGGAAAAGAACGGAGAATTTATCTCACTTTCGAAAGCAAATTAATTTTAGAACTTGCAATATCTCGTTTTCAAAAGAATCATTGGAGCTTACATATTCTCTTTTCAGGTGGCCATATCTTGGGCGCGACTTTCTCCATAAAATCCTCCATGAGTATCGCTCTGTGGCAACTTTGTACTTGAGAAACATTAAAATAGGTATCGAACGGTACTTGCACCTGAGAATGGGATCAGATATTGAATATCAGTTATAAAATTTACGGATGAACGTTGCACGTAGACTTTGCGCTTACAGATCTGGTCTCGCCCGTGCGATATTCGACCCACGGTGGTAACACCAGAGTGCGATTCAGGGCTTTGGCGAATCCGAGGACTCCTAGAAAGTGATCCGCCTGGTTACCGAAGCGGCCTGAAATAACGAGGATCGCAAAGATTATCAACGTATGGAATAATATCGTACGTATAATATAAGATCAAGCTCTCACCCATGCAGGGACAGTAAACGATGTAGCCATTCGCGTCGATCTCAACGTCCTGGCAAAGTGCGGCGTAAAAGTTTGTCAAAAATAACGTAAATATCGATATCCTGATCATGGCAATAAAAAATGTGTGCAGTCTTTTCACGAATTCTCCCGATACTCTGCAATATATATTAATATCCTCGCGAATTCCTGTAATACGTTTGTACACAAACCTTTTTGCGCGGCCTGTTGCGCGAGGTTAAGTGTTACTATAGGTGGACGCAGGTGGACAGCTGCTGTCCGACAGCTGATTATTTTTCCGGTTCCCATGGAGACGAGCGTCGGTCAAAGATACGTGGAGATACGCACGTTATCAAAAATGTAGGCCACCTTACAAGCCAAGATTATTAGCGCGATTTATAAACTAAAAATAAATCACTCGACATTACAATAAGTAAAATCGATATTATAATAAAATTTGCTGGTTTTTGCGGGGTTTTTAACAATTTCTTACACGATGTAAATCTATTATTTTTATTAAAAGCAAATCACATTGCTTACAGAATTAGAAATAACATGTATCATTTTGGGGTACATCATGCTAAAGCATGTAAACAAATTCTTAGTGTGTTAAATATCATAATTTTTACATCGATCTCTAATGAAATATAAAGATATCGTTTCTTCGTAACGAATATAACGTGAATTTTTAACAAGTTAAAAAAAGACGTCTAAAGGTGATGAAAGTATATCATAAAATAAGGGGAGCGCGGGCCAATAATAATGTACAGTTTTATAATAAATACTGGAAAGCGTGGTAAAATAGTTCCACAGTAACAATATTTATTACGCATGTAACTTTTATTGCGGCACCGCTGGTGGCGGTGGCTGGTTCTCGTCAACAGGAACTCCTCTGTAATTTGGGACAATAGTCGGTGAGGAGCATGCAGGGATCATCTGTGACAACGGTAGCAGAGAACCGAAGAAAACGTGTTGGATAACAGGAAACTTCGCCAATACCTGGAAAGTGAAAAAGTTAGGGCCGACAATTCTTTTCTTTCTTTTAGCATGCACCGACTGTAATTACCTCCGCTTGATACATTTTAATAAGACCACTGTTCACTTTCGACCATGAGGACACCGCGCTAACATTCCACAGCTGATTCGAATGCTCGGCAAAAGGTCCTATTTTCACCTAATAGAACGCAATTATTGTAAAAAAATGTAAAAGTTCCTTAATTTTAGAGATAAATTAAAATACATTTAAAAAATACAGTACAACTTCATTAGATCTTTATGAACTTCAATGTCTTTCTGTACCTTTGAGATAAATTCGATGCAACCGAGGAACATGAACTTCTTGCTGTAAGCTTCCACGATAGCTGGGTCTACAAAGTGACGTGGTTCTATCCGTGGATGTCCTAAAATATTAAATTATATATCATGAATCTTATAAGCAGATAAAAAAATCTGAATCTATCTTATTACAAAAGTTAATACCAATGAGTTGAGAACTCCCCCATATGAAGGGCACAAATTGATAATCATCCAAGCTCCAAACGCCGTGACTACCCGCCGGCTCCATACGGTAAGTCAGCTGAAGTCTGCGCACCAATTCCATGTACCTTCAGGCCGAGAAAAAAAACGATTTAAATTAAATAATTTGAAGACACCTAAGCTCATGTAATATACTAAACCAAATTAGTTAAAAGTACCTATTAAACACTTTTGTTACAACAGCAATCCTATCATCCATCGTATCTTCAAATGCGCCTATCTTGAATACACAGCAGAGGAACATGAGGAAAGCCATTTCGTGGCCTGTTCCATAATCGATGCGAGTTGGATTCCCGAAACTCTCGTATAAATACTGCACTACCTCTGGAATGGCGCGATACAGATCTTCTGGCAACACTTGTTTCAATTCCTCCGCAGCATTCTGTATAATGGTAAGATTAATTATATAAATAAATCGTGTTACAATTTTTCAATAACTTTTACGCTCTTACGTGCAATTTACATTTCTTTGATACAGCAATAACATACCTGCTGCAATCTCTCGTGCCATATGCGAAAGGACTTATTGCCAAATCGCTGGGGCTGTTCTGTAGGTGGAATTTCCGTTATCCATTCGTCAAATTTGTTCAACATCTGTACAGCTTTGTCTATCGCAGGCGACGGTGAACATGGCGCGTCCAAGGCCTTCTCTTGAACGGCGCTGTTCAACATTAAAATAAATCCCAGATACTCCTAGAAAAACAATTCTTTATGAATACTTCTAAAAGATATTTCTTTACATTCAAACAACTAAATTTATATGTATGCACATTTAAAAAATATTTCTTTACCTTTAAACAACTAAATTTATACATATGTGCATACACAGAGGATATACAGAACATATTTCATGTCATGCGGTAATTGAAGTAAATATAAAGTCGCAATGAAAAATAAACAACTGCAAAGATTGTCTTACATAGTACGCTTCCGATCTGTGCCAAAGCGTTAGATCATCCGGCGTCTTGACGCACTTTTTCGGCACGACAAATTCATGCGGCTTGGCTAAAACGATACGATAAATTAAACGCGCATTCTTATTTTCTTATTAAAAGTCAATCAATTTATGTCTGATACACATCTCGCAGGATACGTACGTGATATCACGGTATGTGCTGACATGACGAACGCTCGAAGGATACGAATGCGATATTATTAATGAGCTCCGTTAAGGCAACGCAATGGTATTTTTAACATTGACGACATTTCGCATAGGCGCAACGGTGTAATTAGATGACTCGGTCACCTATCGCTATCGCGACTTCGATATTCCGTATACAGGGAATGATGAGGGGACCCTAACCTAATAAAGTAAGCGTTTAACGTCGCGACGCAACGATAGGCGCACGCTCGAGCGCGAAGGTAACGCGCAAATTGCCGCGCCAATTACCTGCGTGCGTGACGTAAATAAACGAGCTACAGACGGAAGTTAGCAGTTAACGATAGCCCGTGACCTTGCGACGAAAATTGTCAGCTGTCAATTCCTACTTCGCGAAACGTGAAAACGCGATCGGTTAATGCGACGCGCACACGCCGGAGGGAAATTGGATCGAGATGTCGGGAAGACCTTACGAGATCCCGTTTAATGGACATCGCGTCATTAAATAATGCTATAACGTGCAAATCGAAATAACAGATATTATCTTTAGAGGCGGAAAATCTGAGTGCGTTTGCAGTATATATAAGTTATTAAAAATTTCTCAATCTCACGCGAATTGAATTTTCCGCCTCTTTACGCTAACCTGCTAGGGAGAATAATTAGGTGAAAATTCCCTGGGGGAATTTGATTAGATTTCGAATTTTTGACTCTTTTGGCGCGCGCATGCGGCTAGAAGAAAAGTAAAAGGTTATGAGACTATATGTTTTTATTTACATCGACGGATGGTGCTTGATATCTTTTCGTTGTAAAATTGAAAAATTTATATCGCCTGTCTTTTGTTAATTTGATTTGGGTTTGTGGAAATAATGCGTTTTTATTACACGAGCAGTAAGCATGATTTACGATTTTAACGAATAACATAATACATTACAATTACATTCCTCATACATTATTCTCTTTGCAGCATGGCGAAATAATTGAATGTTATGTTTTATATGTATATAAATCAGCTTAATATATTTCTTTATACTTATTGAAACACGTCAAAGATATAAAATTTTTTATATTTATCGAAGCTTGCCAGGAAAATACAATGGGTAAAGTTATATTTTTTTCTAAAGGCAGTATTTTATCTTCAGGGAGCAATAGAGCAATGATTTTAAAAAATGGTTTTTTTTTCATTATAGATAAAATCTGTACTCCTGAAGAAATCGAGAAAAAGCGAAAATTAGCGTTACAAAAGAGGCAGCAGGCTCAATTGAGGGTACGAAGTACACTCACATGTAGTCCAGTTAACAATCAACAATTAAAGGCAAACAAAAATGTCGCACGACCAAACAAATCGAACAATCGATTCAACCCTATAGAACCCAAAAATTTTTGCAATTCAACTCAATTCCACTCTGTAACGGGGAATTGTTACATGGTCAGCAGTGACAGATTTACTTTAGAAACATCGTTATTTGTACCTGCGATTATTGATACGTTTAAAACAATTTCAAGCAGAATATATGGTAATCTACAAGTTGATTGACATAACGGTAACGCACGCACAAACTGATATTTCTGATATTTATTAACATTCAATTGCACAGATCCAAAATCTAGAACATGGAATTTCCACCTCAACGATTATGACAGTTTATTACAGACACTGTCCAAGTCTAATCAATATACGATACATGTGTCAAGAATACCAGAGGCTGTCCTTCGGGTAATTGAGCATAAAATAAAAAGTAGACTAAAGTAGATATGAATATAATTGTTTGTATTGACTTTAACTCATTATTTTAGATATTCAAGAAAAACTTAAAGTCAGACAATCAAATATTAGATCAAGATTTATCGAGAATCGACACAACGTTGACAGATGCTTTAATGCCGTTTCAACAAGAGGGCGTTTGGTAAATCTATTTTTATATATACAATTTGTATATGCGCGTGTTTCATACGTATATATCAATATGTTTCGTTTAATTTATTTCAGCTATGGTATATCAAAACACGGCCGTTGTTTGATCGCAGACGATATGGGTTTGGGAAAAACTATACAAGCGTTAGGCATAGCACATTATTTCAAGGACAGTTGGCCACTTCTAATTGTAGCTCCTTCATCAGTCAAGTAAGTTTTGTTTGTAAGTTGAATAATGAAAGCATCGATACTGAAGGTATATTTTACATAGGTACCATTGGTCCGCGGCAATCTATCAGTATTTACCGTCCGTGCCTACACATTACGTTCATCATTTTGCAAACGCAAAAGATTGCATTGAAGATGAAAAAATTACTATAACATCATATGATTTGTTAGTACGAGCCGTAGCTACCTTTGAGAGACATATTTATGGATTTGTTATTCTGGTACAGATAAACGTTATTTTTAATAAGTTAGACGTAAGATAAACGTTGTTACTGCCGTTGTTATTACATTTTGTGAAATTGTAGGATGAATCTCATTGCGTGAAGAGCACTAAGACAAATAGATTTCAAGCTGCTCAGCGGATATGTGCCCAGGCACGTCATACTTTATTGCTCTCAGGCACTCCGGCTCTGTCGAAACCAATCGAATTGTACTCGCAGATTAATCTTATTATTCCACGTTTCATGAGGTAATCCAAAGAACTGTAGATATTCTATATGTACTTGTTTTATTTAAATTTATATGTTATGCTTATATTTAGAGGTATTGTATGTATTTTGCAGTTATGAAGACTACGGTATGCGTTATTGTGCAGGGAAGATGTCTCAGTTTGGTTGGGAGTTCTCAGGATCCTCAAATATGCAAGAGTTACAAGCATTGTTGAAGACCACCTGCGTGATTCGAAGGCTGAAAGCTGACGTTTTGCATGAATTGACATCTAAGAAACGGTATTAAAATGATAACATTTTTACGATGTAAGAAACTTATTCATTTGTCTAAATTTTATAGGGAGGTGATTATTTTAGACCCAGCTTTGATCAAATCTGGCACCAAGCAAATGGGGGAGATGGCGAAGCTATTGCAGAGAAATATCTCGGGCACGGAAAGACATAATGCTATAGTGCAATATTATAACGAGTCTAGTTACGCCAGACTGAAGGCAGTACGGTGGGTGAATATAGTACGCTTGCGCTTCTCAAAGAAAGCAAATAATTTCTATTAATTTAACATTGTGGCATTACAGCAATTACGTTTCGGACTTATTTAAAAGTAAAAAGAAATGCCTTTTGTACGCTCATCATCAAGTTGTTATGGATGCTATTTGCGACCTTGCCGACTCTATGAACATAGGGTAAGTTTTTATTAAGTAATTATCACCATCTACGTGTATTGCAATTGTGACAATTTTCCAGGTACATAAGAATCGACGGGAAAACCAGTTCGGAACAGAGGAAACTTCAGGTCGACAGGTTCCAAGAAGAAGATCACTGTTTGGCGGCGATTCTGTCGATTACCGCTGCGAACTCGGGCATTACGTTAACGGCCGCCCATCTCGTGGTCTTCACCGAATTGTTCTGGAACCCTGGTGTAATTAATCTTTATTTAAGAAAAAAAAAAGAATCTCAATAGATTACGCATAAAATTTATCTAACGCGTGTGAAACCGTGTTCCAGATCCTGTGCCAGGCGGAAGACAGAGCGCATAGAATCGGACAAAGCAACAGTGTCACAATCTATTACTTGGTCGCGAAGGACACTGCGGATGATTATATGTGGCCGTTGATCGCGAAAAAATTAAATGTTCTAAACGATGTCGGTCTCAAGCAGGATCTGTCGATCAGTAACGTCTGCGTCACGGTGCAGAGTAAAAGCAAGCGAGACTTGACTTCCTATCTGAATACTTCCTCGTCATCGTCGCAGTCGCACGATATGGAATGTTCTCCAGCTGACAGTGAGGAACAAGACGCAGCTCCGGAAGCGGCCTCCTCTACCTCAAGCGATGTTAAAGCGTTACTGGAAGCCGACGAGGAATACTTTGGCTCCTGCGATTGGGATGACATTATGTGATTATTACTCAATAATTTATTTATTAGAAGAAAAAATATTTTTGTACGAAGGGGAAGAATAATTCAGTATTTTTCCTTGCCATGTTCGAAGACAAATATTTTTCGTATGAAAGTATAATAAAAAGTTCCATGCCTTTCGTCTCGGATTTTATTGTGTTTTTATCATTCTCAGATGAAACTTCATCGAGGACGTCAAAAAACCAGTGTCCTTTTTTAAAGAATTATATTAAATAAAAATAAGTGAATTGAGGAAAAGAGAAGATTATATTTATACGAGAATAAAGTCTGCTTTATCGGAGAGGTTTTAATAACCGGCTGAGAATGCTGCGACGTGAGTTCGTGGCGGCGTTCAGCAGATGGCAGGCTTTCACACGACGACGAGGGCTCGGCAAGCAGCACGCGTGAATTTTTGGTTAACATTGTTTGTAACAAAGTGAATGACAATGTCTCTTTCCAACGTGCGGCAGTTCGTCGGCACGTTATGTCAACGTTACATGTTCTCGTTACCGGCAATAAACCTGTCTCGCACGCAAAAGGTAAGAACGAAAATCGGCGGCTCCTCAAGGTTAGAGTAAATGCATACTTTCACTATTTGCACTTGAGCATTACATAATAATGCAAAAAAAAGCTACAAGGCCGGCGTGTAATAATCGCGCCGGGATTTTATTATTACAATTTAGAATTTTTACTTGCTGCACACGACGACCGGCCCGTTAATTGCGTGTGTTTCTTTCAGATTTTTATTATCTGCTTCACCAGTGGCTCAATATTACTGGGGGGACTGGCACAGTTTCTGAAGAGACGACGGAGACACCCGATCGCACCCTCCAGAAGGCATTACAGAGACTACAAAACTAGATTAGGAAATATCAAGAATGCCAACTTTGGTAATACTACTGTTACGTGCTGTGTCGTTACATATTATCGTGCTTACATAAAGCAATATAATTTTTGGAGTTAAACGCGATATAAAACTCAAACACATTTAAATGCATTTATGTTCACATGATAAAACGAAATCACATGGTGTTTTTGTTTTCACTCCGAACGTCTAGATGTACTATCGCAAGCATCTTGGGCAAGGAGAAGCGAAGCCAGCACTAGAAGTCACATTAGCGATCGTGCGTCTCTCATCTCCTCTGTGCCAGGTGGTCCAGATGACAGTGAAAGACTTACTCCGCAACAATATGGTGTTCTTGGTAAGTCTTTGATGAAATTTATTAATAATTCAGATATCTTGTACATAAAAAAAAATAAGACAATCCATCTGACATTAAGTTTACTGGAAATATTTGATTTGTATCTGAAAATATCTAAAATATCTTCGTATACTTCTTAATTTTTTAATAAAAATTTAGAATAAATTTTTTTTTACAAAGAAATTTCAGCAGATTTCATCAATCATATGATCTCAGTAGTATCTTTGAATATTGATACATCTCTCATGGAATAATCTCGATTCTACTAAATGAAAACGAGTCTCTTGCGTTCTTGATTGCTTAATCCGTATTTACTAGAGATATTTTTTGGGAGATATAGGCAGCGTCGTCGGAAACTTTTTGTATGTACATAGTTTATATTTACATGATAATGTACAATACAGCAACATTATTCACAAATGATACATCTGTGTTGAGAATAGATATTTTTTAGAACGATTCTTGGCTTCGCCGAGATCGAGTTACTTTAGGGTTTTTGTTTACATCTACCAGCGTATAGAGTATCAGGAAAGTTAAATCTTTACGATCTCAGGTTGTATTATGAACATACAGCTTCCTTCTTCGTCGAGCTCTACGCTAAAATCACGTCTCGCGCTCGTTATACTCGCGTCGCATTCGTTCTCGTCAGTTTACTCGGAAAATATCGAAGAAAATATCATAGGTACTATAAATTTTATTTGCGTTTGTTTTCTATCGTCGCCCCCCTCTCTTTCTCTCTTTCGCTTTCTCGCAAATTTTTCAATCTCGCAACGAATTATTGCTTTTTTTCGCAATCAACGGGTCGCTCAACATAATGCTGTTTTCCTTTTTCCTCCTTCGTGTCTACGTAAGGTTTTCAATGAATATCACAACAGGCGGTGATTAGGCTTACGTTGATAAATTGTCGTTAGAAACACGTCCGCTTTTTTTAGCCCGAAATAAACGGTTTCGCGCTAATTACGGATTTATTCCATCATCGGTTTAATAGTAAAATATAAGAATTGTACTTGTGTGTGACGCTACTATCGGTAGAGAAAATATCTATAAATCATTGTTATATAAATAAGCTTACTACACAATATTACAACTATCAAGATCATATAGAAATACATATTATATACATACATGTGGACATACTTCTTCGGTAAAAACGCTGACAACGCAACCTCGGTATGAAAAATGATCATTCCCGTCGCCGTCTTTCGAGTGAACGGAAAAAAAAAAAATCTTTCCATAAAACGTCAAAATCAATGAGTCTATACTTTGCACGCGTACCAAAATATTCTATCCTCTTTTTTTTTTTATTAATAGATTATTCAAATATTTATATTGTATGTATATACCAATGGTTCCTCCATCGTTACCATCATTTTCAACAGTACTCTAAGAAACCTGCAAGTCGTATCACTTTACGCACTGGCGACAGATGGGTACACAACGAATTGATTATCGAACTGCTTAAAATGAAAAAAATTACGCATACTACATAAAACAAACATTTCGTAATTTTTTTTTCTGTTCACAACGCGATCGTGGATAACGTCGTCACTTAATTATACATTAAACGGCTCAACACGATCGCTTATCGTTTCGCTGCAACTTAACTTGGGAACTTAATTGAATCAGTATCTAAAAAAAGTACCCATCTATCCCTATAGTTTATACAATTTTCTCTCTTACTCGCTATTCCTTAGAAATTTTACACTCTTCTAAAATTATACGGCAATCTCAAAAATATATCGTAGCTGAATTAACTCGCATATCTTGCTCTTTCTTTCCATTGCTTAAACTTCTACTCGCCTCTCCCGACTTGACGTATATTACGCTGCTATTCCAAGACAAGTTATTCGCGGCATTTACAGCTCTCTTTCTCTTCAATCCTCTAAAAAATAAAAGAATGTGCCGTTCTTTGAAGCGATTATTCTAAAGGATCTAGAGTTACACGCTTTGTGAAGGCATAAAGACATACACATTATAGTTGGAAAGTCGATTTCACAGCGGGATTAGAAAAAGACGGAATGTTACGCGGTCGGCTCTTCAACAATATAACGGGTGAACGTTTCGCGGCCAGGTTAATCCACCTGCACATCGGTCGCTGCGATCTCGCTCTTGTACTAACTCAACGTCGTGAGACTAGCTCCGTCGTTCAATCGCGAGGATACTTTTTCTCTCATCCTCTCTTCTGTTACCCTAAGACGCATTTTTGTATGTGTGTGTATGTTACGTGTATGTAATATATATTATATATTAAATATCGAGTTTCTTTTTAAAGGCAAGCATTATATCAGCACCGCGATTCAGCGGCGCGTGTATGTACGTGTGTTCAAATAAAGAGGTCATTCGCGAGATAATCGCTACATACGAAATTACAGCAATTTTTTCTTTCCGCGTATATATATAATATATTTTTGTTCTTTTTTTCCTGTGTAATTCTTTTTTTTGTCTTTTTTAATTCTTTTTCCGTTCTCGGTACGGTGTCGTCTACTGGGGGTTATATTATTTTTTATATTACTATTGCGGGAATTAGGAGGAATTTAACGTTTAGAGGCGGCGGCGAACGCGCGATCGGGTCTTCACGTGATTCTGTGGAGGATCAGCAGCAGTAGAAGCGGAACGACGAGCGTCAGTAAGCTCGACTGGAGCGCGACTGACGTAGCGCCGCCGTAAATCACCTCCACCTTGTTCTTGAGTGACAGCGGACCGCCGTCGTCGCTCTGCATGCCCGTCGATATGTCCGTCTTCTTCGGCGGCAAAATCATGTTCTCGTCGTGGTTCACCATCTCCGACGACGTGCCGTCCGTCTGGTGCCGGTGCGTCGCCCGATTCGTCTCCTGCTTCGTCGTCGTAACCATCGTCGTCGTTGTCATCACTGTCGTCGTGGTCGGTAGCTCGGTGGTCGTGGTGGGCGGCGGCGTGGTGGTCGGCACCAGGCTGAAATTGCTCAGGAAGTAGATGGCCCCGAATTCGGCCGCGACGTCGAACAACGTTTCCTCCTGCCGCGTGCCGCTGATGGTGCGCGACGTCGTCACGCCGTCCTCGTAGTGCGAGACCAACGTCGCGGTGTACGGCACCTCCATGTCCGTGTAGTTCGCCTGCAGAGTCACGTTCACGGCCGTACCAGGCTCCAGATAGACCTGCACGCTGTAACAAACACGCGAGAAGATATATCAAAGCTCGTTGACTCAATCTAGAAATCGGTCGCTATAAATCGTACATGTATTTCTCCTCTTAACAACATTGCGACGATAATGAGACGCGTTATTTCGCATCTATCAAAAAGTTCAATTGGTAAACTTATGGGTCAATTCTAGAATAAATAAGGCTCGTAATTTAGTCTCGTAAAAAAACTTGTGAGAACTGACGACTGCATATTTATAACTTTATAATTTTACAGATAGATATTTTTTGCTAGCCGTAAGATTTACAAGAAATCGTAGACATTTAATGATCGTACGGATAGATTACAATTTCAGTATGTAAGTTCTTACATAAGTCTTACGAGAACAAATTACAAGCCTTACGATTTTGCTTCGAATTGACCCATTAATTTCATTATTCAGGGGAGAGATACGTATTTATAATTTATGTAAGGACACAATCTAGGGATCACCAAGGATCTCGAGGAGTGAATGCATTAACTTGGCGCTGGACTACGCAACTGGAACGCGAGTCCGATACATGATCGTAATTGTGTTGCGTTGAAGCATCACTTAAGCTGAATCGCGACGGAGTATTCTGGGGCATATTATCGGGCGGGAAGGGTGGCACGAAGTCGTCGTACAAAGTGCACTCCAGGCTCATCTCCGCCGCGCGCGAGCTTCAATGATGCACAGGAAGCGATGAAGTGCCCCGAGGGGCTAACCAGAGAGAGCGGACGAAATAGAGAGAGGGAGGGAGACACGGTTATGTCGCGGAATATAAACCTGAGCTCTAATTATATTTAATTATAGAGCCACGAGATGAGATTACGGGCTGAATCGCTGTAAACCGTATCGCGCTTGTCCGCCTTATGACTCACTGAAACGCCCCGCGTGTCGCCGATTCGCATCCTCGTAAGTCCTCACGATTATCCTCCTTTGCTCCATTAATTTCGCCGCAAAAGCGATAATAGAAGTTCTACGTTTTGTCATCACAATGTTCATAATCGTTACACAAGCGTGATGAGAGGGGGAGATAGATAGGATAGGATTTATCTAAATTGACCGTTCTCCGTAGCGCCTCGTCAAAAAGAAAATCTAAATGTCAACTTGCCACCTTAACTTGTCGTTCCACGCGACACTTCTGCGATCTTTTAGAATATAAATGGGACATTTTATCTCTCCGGATACGCGTAAAGAAAAGCTCTAAATTTGCATACCTACCGTTCAACTTCGTTGCGCGTGACAGTTTAAAGCGATACTCACTTGTAAACCTCCGTGCGATTTTCCTTGTAGTGCATACCCCACGTTATGTTCGGCAAGGACGTGCCGTTAATTAGCTTGATCGTGGTGTTCAGGCCGTTCAGGATGGCGTGCCTGCGACCCCAGTAGACCGAGTAGTTGTAGCTGTATCCGCGTGCCTCCCCCAGGTTCGCCGGTGCGGCTCGGCGATTTTCGATCGTCATCTTCCCGAGTACGCGAGGTACGCGCTTAACGTCGCGCCTCCTAGGCCAGTTGAATTTAACGTCGCTCAGCTCGTAACGGTTCGGCTCGGTCTCCACCAGTAGCTCGCCGGACTTCGCGGACCCCTCCTTGCCGTCCTACGAAAAGAGAACCAAGAGTTTGACACGCCGTTCGCCGTCGGCAACTCAATTATCTCGGCAAATAAATTACGCTGTCGTTAAAGCGCGACGCGTATCTACCACGAACTTAATGACTTCTTGGAAAAAAAAATTTTTTTTAGGATCAATGAATCAAATTTAATGCGATATTTCTGTTCATTAATCCTTATCGCGTGTTGGCAACTTGTTTTGAACAAGAATTTTTTTCGTGTTTATATTCGCGTTTCCAAAATTCAACTTGTTGGATGTCTCGTCTGATAATATTCTGCGTTTGAACATTTGCCAAGGAGGAATCAAACTGAAGGATGGCAATGCACTGCTCTATCTTTCCAATTCGGGAGATTTGGAAGAACTCGCGATCTCGGCACTCACCTCGTTCACGTAGACGATACTGCCGAAGTTGTCGGGCGGGCTGAGCGTACCGATGTAGTGAGTGTATCGCGGTTTCTTCATGTCCTTGGCGACCGCAGGGTGTCGAGCCACGAGGTCCTTCTTGTCGACGTACACCGCGCCCAGGTGAGGCTGCATATACTTGTTCCACTCGACCCACGAGATCCGCGCCGCCCCGTCGACGTTCTCCAGCAGTTCGTACTTCTCGTACTTCCTCACGGCACCGTGTATCGTCACCGTGCAGTTCTTCTCAATTTCCTTCTGCGTACCGGCCACCCATACGCCACTGTGCATCGCGCGGCACACGTAGAGCGCCGGCCTCCTCGTCTCCAACTTCTCCGCTTGATTGGCATAGTTCTCGTCTGCAACAAGTTCGCGCGAAGACGATCGGTTATCAATCGCAGTCTAATTCTTAGGATTCGATATTTTCATCTCGCGCGAAAGAAACGAGAAATGTAAGTCTAGCCCTTGAACGTTAACGGCGATGCCGCGCGAGGATACGATCGCTACCAATTCGTATCTAAATCTAGCGCGTCCCCGAGCGTCTTAATTTCTGAATGAAGCATAAACGAGCGTGACGACTCTGACGTAATGTCATGTTTCACAATTAATAGTTCACGCTAGCAAGACCAAGGAAGCGATGCGCAAACAGACACGAATGAGCGGTTTGCTTCAATGAATGCGAACGGCACTGTCAACACGGCCGGCACTCGTCGAAGTAAGCTGCTCATTTCTGTTTACGTTTGATACTCGCTCGGTCTCGATTCGGCTTCGCGCGACACATCGCATGAATTTTGTCGATTCGCGAATATCGTCGTCGCACCTTCATCCGACACGTTTTCGACACCACCGATGACTATCTCCTTCGATTCACTCGGGTTGTAGTGCGCCACCGGTAGCCACTTGAGCGTGCTCGAGGTGAGCGGCTGGTGGCCGTACTCCGACGTCTTCGACAGTATGTACACGCTGTCCGCGGTGGTCTCCAACAGCAGAAGAACGCAGCCGAGCACTCCCAGGGCGAGGTAATTCTTTTGTCGAAGCATCTGTAAAAGAGACATGACACGCGAGTGAGACGAGCGGGTAACTTTCCATCGGTTATCGTCTTTTAAGATAAGGAGCAGTGCACACAACGATAAACGAAGTTCCGTGCACACTCTTTATCCTGCAGGAACTTGCCTAGTCTGATCTCGATGAATAAACCAATATATTTACTTAGAGACTTCATTCTCGTCCTCGGCGCAATCTATAACAATTGATTCGCGCATTATCTAGGGGACTTTTTTTTGGCGATTTTAAGGATACAGTTCGCTAACCCCGATCGCTTTGGAGAACCGTTTCGCCGCCACTTCGTTACGTGGAATGTGAAGGGTTCACAGCGCGCCGGGTCTCACTCCCCCTCTGGCTTCCCCATCTTTCTGTCGGTAGGCTGACGGCGCGGCCGAGCTATGCAAAAAATGCGCGCGATTTTCCGGCGATTAACACGCAACGAGGGGGCACGCTTCCCTCCCATCTAATCGCGTCACGATCGGTAGCAAAAAGGACGAAAGAATCCGGCAACCAGGCACGAAGCGTACGCATAGCTTCGTGCTATACCTATCCTATGGCCTAACTCTGCTCTCGCAGGCAGAAGAGAGAAGCCGGCCGCCCCCTCTGGGCTTTGTGATTACGTTTCCGCTTACTATGCCGAGCGTGTCTTCAACACGGGTCCCCTCCTCTCCCGGGGTATAACTGGACCTCGACTCGGTTTTGCTCTTGCCTCGGTCTTTTCGCTTCGGTTGGTTCGGCAACGAGCGAAAAGGAAACCTCGCGAGTTCTAACACCCGGTAAAGAGAGAGAAAGAGAGAGAGAGAGGGAGAGAAGGGGGGCGGAGGCAAGTCTGTAACCTTCCTCCAGAGATCGATATGTCTTACAAAAATGTAATAATTCCGAGAAGTGAACGCGGACGTGGAAACGAGTTGAAAGTGTCGAAGAAGAATCCTTTTAAAATCAACGTCACGAATGAAAAAAGTCGCGAAGTTCCGCGAGTCGTGATCGTTTTGTTCGGGATTCAAGCGCGAGCGATGTGACGGCAACGGAAGTCGAAGGCAGCGGTGAATGAGCCGTTGACTGGCCGCGTGTTTACAAAGGCAATGACAAGTTGCATAATTGCTCGCTCAATCCGTAATCGATATAACGGCCGCGCGCGGTGGGTAATTGCACAATCGCGGTCTCCTCGTCTTTTATGACGGTTGCGATGATCCCGGCGTCGAGGCTGCCGACTCGAGAGACCGGCTAGCTTTTCGCGCACCGGGCATATCGGCTTCAAGTAACCGTAACGGTTCCGTGGCATATCCGTTTACACGATAATACACTCGTTTCACACCGCCCGACTTCCGCCGCTGGAAAGCCACCCGGGGAAAAGATAGAGAGAATATTCTCCTCTCGGAGAAATCACGGACGTCTTTCAGAGGCGACGGTACGGGAAGGTGAAGTGGCTTTAAATATTTATTAATAGAATTGCATAAGAGAGACTTGGAGATTGGAGATAAAAGGACTCGACGTCGACAATAAAAGCTTCGTTTTCCTCAACAGGCAATCCTCCTCGCGATCGTTTCGAGGAATAAAAACCGGTTCTTCTGTAACCGATTGAATTTCTAAATTTGGAGAAAACAAAGTCCGACAACGTCGTCGCGGTCCGACTTATCTTTATTAATCACTAAAACGACCGTGGGACAGCGCGATTGATAGACTTCGTGTATGTACACACATGAAATAATATCAGACTTTGTCGGAATTTTGTGGTGGGAACGTGCGTGACCTGCCGCAATGCCGTCCGTTCCGTGATACCCTAGTAATGCGCATGATATCGTAATGGATTATATAGAGGATTTAATGACGGTTTACCGGAGAGAACGAGATCAACCAACAACGTGGCGGTGGTGGAGGACTGGTAATTGAAACGCCAGCATGATTCTAACGACGGTGTCAAGTGGTAGTCGGAAAAAGGAAACGCTAACGATCTAGGAAGTGACTTGTACCTTATAGAGCAATCTAATCTCACATTTTATCGTCCTCGAGAGAGAATTACGGACTGGAATTACTTAAGCACAGCGAAATACAATTTATTCACTTGATTAATCCCGGATTTAACTCGCACTTCCTTCGCCGTCATATATACGTACGCCCTCCAATTAATTTTCCACGCTTCGCAATTCGGGACCGCACGGGCGTATTAAATCGACAAGAGGAGGACGATTATACGCGTTTATGAGTATCCTCTCGCGAATGATTTTGCGCAGCGGCGGCCAATCGAGAGGGCTCGCCGCTGACAAAACGTTTCCGCTCGCCACGGCTGCTGTTCACGGTTCCGCGGAAGCCGTCATTGTCGGCGCATTATTGTCAGCGATGGCATCGCTCCAATTACCAGAAAGATACGACGCGAATGATAACCCTTTCACGGCGCGACCCGCACAATTGTCCGAGCCCGGTTTTTTCTTTTTTTTTGCCAGTCGTCTCACACTTTTTTTTCTTCTTTCGCGTAGTGCTCCGTTATGCGAGTCGAGGAAGAGCGCGTATTTGCGAAAAAATTGAAAATTTTACGAAAAAAGATCACGTCAATGCAAACGTTCGCGCTCGTAACAGATCAATTTGTAATCGAGCACGATCCGTGACCCGAATGGAATTTCGCGCGTTCCGATTTGTCGCCGGGTCTAAAAAAAGGGACGCATCACGAATTCCGAGGACATCGGTTGAGCGAGCTACGTCGAGGCGGTCGACCGTTCGTTTCGATTTAAAAAAAAAAAGAGGCAAATGCCACGGGCAATTACGGCGGAACGGAATCCGCGTGAATGATCGACACGTCGACTAGACGAAAAACGCTATACGAAACGTACGTGTAATCACGCCGCTTTCCGCGCGCGAGGAAAGGATTCTCAATGAACATGTGAGAACGATAGCCGGAGAGTAACTAATATAAAAAGAGACGCGATTAATTTTCCCTTTCCGCGATCGCGTTCTCGTCAAGCCCGAAGCTGACGCATCGGCACCGGTTCTGCGTCGGTAATCCGTAAACAGGCAGGCGCAATCTCGTTTTGCGTTTACGCACACGCGGCGTACAAGGAGTCCCGTTGCAGACCCGCTCACGGATTCTCCGCTCCCCGCGTTATTATCCGCCCTCTCTTTTTCCGCGTCACGATCTCGCTCGCGATCGACACGCGATTCACACACGACGGGTTGCTCCTCACCTTCGACGCCGCGTAAGAAATCTTGTCATTTACGACAACGTACGCGAGTTACGGCCTGCTGCCGCGCGTACGACATTGACTCTCCGAGTGACACGCGCGTCCGGAACTCGACTCTCCGCGATGTTCTTTATCCGCGCGATGACGAGCGCGCCTGGAGGATTTATGGCTGTTTAAATGTCGGTCTAGCGCGGAGCGACTAAGGCTATAAAGGCCACTTCTCGTGGTCCGATGGCTTGTCACAGCTTGTCGGTAAATTACATCGCGCGGTGTAACTTCTAACCGGTTTAAGACGGCGCCGTGGAATCGTAAACACGTGTCCTCGGAGATTCCCTCGCGAAATGCTTGTCTTCTCGTTTCTTCCTCTTCTTCTCCTCTTCTCGCGTTTTCGACATTCTTACAGATTTGTTGTGAAATTCGTGCGGAAAGCTGTATAGACGACTCGTGAATCCAGTTCGCTGTTAAAAAAAAAAAAAAAAAAAAACCCGCGAGAACGAAAAGTCAAGCGCGGTCTCTCGCTTGCGCCAGCGTGTGTAACGCGATTCCCCGAGAACAGAATATACGCGCGTGTAATTTTATATTTATCATTTTCAAGCATCTCGCGAGTAGCTCGCACAACAGCTGAAACGTACCTCGCTAATTAAAAGAACTGTTATAGAAGTTTTTTGACGGTTACAAATGCAATTCGACAAAGCCCGTAAGATGAATAAGAAAATTTCACTGAAATGAATTAAAACGGAATGAAAGAACGAAATTAATTAAATAATGATTGGCTATCTATTTAATAAATTGATAATTAATTCAATAAATAATTAGAATCAAGTCAAATATTTTATTTGTATTAATATTATTCGTCGATAACAAAATTAACTTTTTTTTTCATGCAAGGATCAACGCGATTTTCCCACAATGACATACGCGAATGTCAGAATTCTAGAACTGCCTAGCGACGTCAGTTACGCAACTGCAAAAATTGCCCGCGGTTCGCTTTAAACATCGAATTTTTTAACTAGTCTATTTTTCCCAGACCGCGATATACATTTCGCGTGTCGCAACACGAATCGGATTGAAGGTCAAAACTCGGCGCGAATACGCAATATATTCGTCGATGATACTCGCGCGAGGAGATCCCGTTTCCACTCGCGAAACATACGGGGAACACTCGCGACGCGACGCGTCATATTATTTATGTTACAGTACATGCACGTTTCTTTACTTGCCGGCGATAAAAATCATCGCGTGGGCGCGCGGAGAGTCGTCAGTACTTACGTGGCACGTTATGTACTTCACGCTCGCGCGCCGCAACCTTGCCCCGTTCGTATGAATGATGTAATTCAAGAGCCCTCGGTATCGGAGATTAAGCTGGTCGAAGCGTATATTATTTATATACAATCATCCTACAATCTAAACAGTTACATCAAAATGAAATGATCGCTTCATAATGAGGTATACGCTTGTTGGATTCTCTTCTCTTTTCTTTTTTTCGAGCAACAAGCACGTTTTGAAAGTCAATCAAATCAAAATAAAATTACAGATGTCGAGAACCGTAACCTCTTCATCTTGAATCAACGATAACGAATCGAACGGTGAGGCGAAACACAGTGATCGAAGAGTCGGACGCGGTGGCTCGCGTGCGAATTGAGTGAGGATCAATCTCACGTTCCCGATGATCGGCCACGTTGTGATTCTCATCCCGCGTATGTTACCGTGATTATATCGAGGAAGGGAGAAGCCGATTGCGGTCGTCGAAATTGATATTCAGCGCGCGATATCGGCCGATTATTCTGCGCGAAGCGACGAAGAAGAGATTACGCGACCGGTATATACATATACACGTATCGTTTTATCGCGACGACAAGCGTATCAAGCGTGTAAAAGTCGCGGCAGGAGCGAAGCTCGCAAGACGCAGTCGCGTGACGTTGGCGTTGAAGTAGAATGTCCTTCGAGTGCAGTGCAAAATGCGAAAAGGCCGTTCGTTACGCGAGCGTTTGATGCGCCCGATGACCCACTGGCCCTCAACTGC